AAAAAAAAAAAAAAAAAAATTAGCCAGGAAAAAAAAAAAAAAAAAAAAATAGAAAGAAGAGTGTAAGTGTGTGTGTGTGTGTGTGTGTGTGTGTGTAATTACACATGGGTGGGATAATTTTCATGCAAAAAGATTTTTTTTTTTTACAAGAGGATTCGTGGCAGGATTCTCTTAAGTCACAAGTTCCTCTTACTCCGGAGTCAATTTTCCTAGCATGATTCACACCAACCTTCCAGGAAAGGGCTTTCTGCTCCCTGCTGTCTTGTCACCCTTGGCCTTCTTGTAAGGTTTTCTTGAACTTTGAGCTGAAATAGCAGAATCCTGGATTGAGAGCAACATAGCCACCATATTTCATTGATGTGCCATGGGCCATAAGATGCACCATGATTTTATGTTCCACCAAGAAAGAAAAACACTGTCCATTGTAATTGTATGATTTGAATGATTGTAAAACAAATCCTGATTTCAGAAATGTTAAAATAGAAAAAAAGGCCTCTTACAATCAATAAAATGCAGTGTTTGAGGACCAGGGTCAACTGGATGGGTTAGCAGACTGGCAGAATAAGAACGTACAAAATAGGTTCAATCTCCAAATTATACTTGGCTTAATATTATTATTTTTTCTTTGTTAAAGAAACCATGCATTTATAGACTTGATGAGGGCAGAGACTAGGTCTGTTTTGTTCACCACTATCACTTCACTCATAGTAGGTATTCAACAACTATTTGCTGCACGAATAAACAGAACAAAGCAACATTATAAAAAACATGGAAAGCCCAGAAAAAAAATAAATCATTCATAATTCCCCCACTGTGGGTATTTTAGCTTATTTTCTTCAAGTCTTATTTCCTATGAATATGCTCTTTTATATACATGTAAATATAATGTATTATTAGATTTAGCTCTGGGATGTGCTTTTGTATTTTTCTATTAATATAAATGAAACGATGAAATGAGATGATGCGGAAATGCTTTGAAGACTGTAAAATGTTTAACAAATATCTTATTAGTTATAATAATCATGAAAATACTGATATGAATGAGGCTGATTTTCTGAGAATCTACTTCAAAGCAAACACCAAATTTGCCCTCTGAAGCTGGGAATCGGTTCTATTTCCTCATCCTACTCACCACGGGGATTCCTTCTGTTTCATATTGAGGAGAGAAAGAAAGGCTTAAGGCTTCTTAGAAGTCATATCTCCAACTTTCCACCCAGACCAGAAGCTTCTTCCATCTCACCAATGGAGGGTAAGCAGGGGTCAGAGGAGGAATAAGCACATCTTTCAGGCTGATGAAAAATAGCACCCTACAGAAAACTTTTTTCCTCTCCAACCTTTGCTAGTGATGGGAAGTTACACTTTGGGTTTCAAAGAATGTTGTTCACTTACTCTGCATGCTAATAGCAATGTGGACACCAGAGAGGTGTCAGTACAAGTAGTTCATGATACTGGTGATGGGTACATTCAACACATGACAAAGTCACATTTGCCTTGGACAATTAGTCAAAAACTTACTTTTAGATAGTCAAATAATTCACATACACATTTATTAGTTGAAACCTGTGCCTGGTTCTTTGCAGGGACATAGGCTTATACTCACATAGCAGAAGGGAATACTGACACATTTTCTCTCCTTGATCAAACTCTAGCCAGCCTCTTCTGAGCTCTCTTCTCAACTAGACCTTGACCTTGGTCTATGAAGACTTGGATAAACACTAACATATTTTCTAATAGCTCAAGGTCACATTCCTAGGATGCCTCTAGCTGCCCCTTAAAGAGTTCACCTGAAAAAACTCAAGGCTATCAAGAGAATTAACTGTTTCAGCCAACACCTGAAGAACAGTAGGCATTCTTCATAATGTATAGTGCCCCTGCCTCCCATCTTGGTGGGAGGGTAGTAGCCTAACTAACTTCAAAAGGCACCAGTTAGCAAACCCAGATGAGTTTTACAGGCACCAATCTCTACCCCCTTCCTAGTTTTTTGCTTCCCTAACTCTGCTCATCCTTGCCATTCCCCACCTCTGCTCCTTCACTCTCCCTTTGAAACACCCAGTCCCCTTTGCCCAAGCTGGAGTTGAATTTAGTTCATGGAGGACCCTCTTCCCTGTTGCAATAGTATATTGCTGATGAAAATCTGCCCTTACCATATCAGCCAGTGTCTAACTTTATCTTTGACAGTACTCAAGAACATTCCTAGGCTAACAGTTCGGGCTCCAGGCTTACTTAGGATGCCTGTCTGTCTGCACACCTTTACTGGATAATCCCATGTTCTCACTTTTTCTGACTCTCAAATCCTTAGCCTTAAACTCGGCCCTCTGCCTTCTGCCTCATGCCCTCCTTCTAACTGTCTTCAGGGATGCATCCTTCTGGTTGCACCATTTGGTTTGTACCTTGTACACCGTTGGTCATCCTCATTGATGCTTGCACCACCTGTCTCAGTCTCTGGGGGCCCGAAGAGGCAAGGCTGACCTCCCAGCCACCCTACTCTCATCTCTGTCTCAAAGCTTCCATGCCATCACCTATGGGCTGCAGTGAAGTTGACCTTGGTCTCCCCAGCTGCCCAGGCTTGTGTCCAGGGCACACTTTGTGAAAACCATCAATGTTTTCCTATAGAGTAAAAAATATAGCTTACTTGTAGATTTATAATCATTTTCAATGCAGAATATCACTTTATAAAGTGGCTAAACAGTTGTGACTGGCACTAGATAAAAATATGATGTTTGATCTAAATTTTAAAAATGAGCTGAGCTCATAAGTTATGAGTGCATATCTTTCCTTATTTCCTGAGTGTGCTATCCCCACATCCAAAGCTGGTACTTCTGCCATTCTCAGAGTTAACTCTGCCCAAAGCCTCCCCCAGAAAATTGCCTTCAACGATCTGGTTTAGGATTTGCTCCCAGTCACAGTCCTTCCAGCTTTTATTCTGGGTAAACTAGATGACAAGTGTCCAGGAGATAAGAGAAAGAAACAGAGTCTGTATCTCCCTGCAGTCCTGCTTTGAGACTTCCTACTGAGAGATTGTGAAGGCTTTCCTTCTGAGATGTGAGACACTTCAGACGTGAGGCCGTGCCTGTCTTCCCTCCACCAACCGACAGAGTTGATGCTGCTGTCTCAGCTCGCTGGGTTGGGCCCCTCCTCAGTGTTACATCAAAGAGAGCGGGCAGGAGCCCACTTAAATTTGATGGTAGGAGAGGGATGCCCCCCCATCCCTTTTCTCTTTGTAGGCTGCTTTGAATTATATTAACACAAGTGATGAAACATATCAAACCCTGGTTAGCAGTTTTCCTTAACGTCCTCTGGCCCTCCAAAAATTTTAAAACATCAGCTTGCACAGAAAGACAGAATGCTCTGGAAAAGAAAAAAAAAAGAACCTAACCAATTCAGCGAAAAAGAAAATAAGCTACATTTCCCTCATGCTTAATTTTAGGAACTAACAGGTTGTACAGGAGAGCTGGTGAAGGAAGTTAGCCAATCTTTCTTCAATTTCAGGGTAAAGACCTTGCCTGAGTGGCATCCCATTTCTCTTCCTTGATCCTCTGGAGTCGACCAGGGTAGGCTGAAGACCACTGATCTGGGGAGCTCAGGGAACTTACCCTCTGCTCCTGTGTGGCCACGAAGGTCTGGAACCCCGGAGCCACCCCAAAGCCCAGCTCTTGGATGAAAGGCGGCTCAGACTGACTGTGGATCTGAACTTTCACTCCTGCTTCAAACGTCGTTTCCTCTGAAAGAACAAAGATGAACATAGCCATGGGTCAGTAACAACACACGCTCATACAGTCCTAGGATTGGAAAGCTCAAAGGGATGCAAGGAGGCCATGTGGCAGGCAGAATAATGATCTCCAAGGAGGTTCACTCCCCCATCTCTGGAAATTGTGACTACGTTACCTTACATGGCGAAATTGATTGAGCTAAAGATCTTGAGATGGAGAGACTCGTCTGGGTTATTCAGATGGGACCCATGTAATCACAAGGGTCCTTATATGACAGCGGCAGGAGGACCAGAGTCAGATAGAGGGTGGAAAAATTCTGTGCTGATGGTTTGGAAGATGGAGGAAGGAGCCATGAATCCAGGGATGCAGGCAACTTCTAAAAGCTGGAAAGGCAGGGAATGGATTTTCTCTACAACATCCAAAAGGAACACTGCCTGCCAACAACCTTGATTTTACTGACCCTAGTGAACCCAATTTTGACCTTCTGACCTTCAGAATCTTAAAGTAATAAAACTGTGTTATCAGCCATAAAATTTGTGGTAATCTGTTATAGCAACAATGGGAAATGAATTCCCATTAGGCAACTCCTTGCCTCAGTCACCAAACCTGGAGAATGGGATTATGAGATGAGGCAAGCTCTTTTATTTTTATCGACTAACTTTTCCGCTGGGCTATGAGCTGAAGCTGAGGTTATCAGGAGGAAGAAAACATGATAATGCAGTGGTAGAAAGAAAATGTAGGGTTTGTTTGTATGCCAGGGTGCCCACCCCTTGGACTGCAAGAGATGAACAAGAGAAGCCCCCCTCCTTTCCTTTGGCAGGAGAAATAGTCCTTGGCAGTAGGAGGTGGCAGAGTCTGGCTCACCTTATATGTTTAGTGCTCACAGCTGGTGGAAAATACACTTATGGAATTGTATCAGCCTTTAGTGGATCTCCCTCTCTGTCTTACCCTCTCCAAACAACCTGTAGGATGAACTTTCCAAAATGCAAGCCTGAATAACTTGTTTTTAAGGAGCCCAGTCTCCTTTACCCACCTTGTCCCAGCCTTGCTCTGGGCAGTCCTCTGCAGCGCAACACTATGTGGTCAGGACCTCCAGGGCTGCCTGGATTGGGTGTTCCTGGTCCCCTGCTCTGCACAGATGGCACATACCTCTTCTTCTGCCTGGGATGTCTTTCTACCTTGTCCATCTGACCATCTCCCTACTCATCACTGAAGATTCAGCCACCTAGCCTCATCTCTCTCTCTCACTCTGTTTTATCTTCTGCAACTGCCTCCTGGAGCCTCTGCCACATCACATGGTGATGATCCTTTATCTGGCTGTCTCCTCCAGCAGGCTGGAGCGACATGAGACCACATTCTAGGCTTTCTCTCTGAGTCTCAGAGGTCCTGCACAGGGACAGGCATATGGCAGGCACTCAGGGAATGCCTACTGAATAAATGAGGGGGAGATTTGTGACTTACACCTCACCTCACCTCACTTATGAATGAGTGAGGCCAGTCTGGAGTCCAAGTCAAGGAATATTCTCAAAGAATGGGAAGAGATTGGGTAAATGGAGGAAGGAAAGATGGAGCAGGGGGAAAATGGGGATTGGGGGCCAGGAAGGGTGAGGGGGAGGATGTGTCAGCACTGGGCCATGGCTTGCAGAGGGTTTAAGGAAGCTGGCATAGAAGAGAAAGTCTTGGAAGGAAGGGCTGGGGCCAGCCAGGGGCATGGGCACAACCTCCCGAAAGCGTAGAAGCTACTGACAGAGGAGGAACAGTGGTTTAGAGCTGGGTGAGAATTCCAAGGCCAGGGGTATGTGAAAGAAAGGCCCAGTAGGTAGACAGGGCCTGGGGGAAAAGATAGGCAGGGCTCTTATAGTCTAGACAAGGAGTCCAGAGGCTGACACTGGGTTTCACAAAAAGGTCCTCAGCCAGGAATCCTTTCAGATATGGTTCATGGAGTAGGAGGGAATGCCAGGCAATCCACAAACACATCCCTTTCCCTCCAGAACACTGAATTGTTCTGCAGTTTCTTTATCCCATCACCCCAACTAGACTCCTTTCTCTGTACACCTGTGGTTTTGTGTAAATCTCTCCCACTGATGATGAATTCCTCAAGACAGGAGACCAGGTCTTGTTCATTCCAGAGCTGCCTCATCTAGTCCAGGGCCAGTCCACAGGTAGAGCTTCAAAGGAGGTGCTTAGATCAGAGAGGGGAACTTCAGGAGAGGGAGAACTGACTTAAAGAAGGGAATTCAGCCATCAGCTTTCAGAGGCTGTTTTCCAAAGTCTGCTAACAGAGGGGTTGAGGAGAGCGTGAGAAGCCAGAAAAACAGGTAGGACAGGGAAGAGAACTGGGTGTGAGTGATGTTGGGATTCCAGGGATGCTGGGAGGAACTGAAAACTGAAAAAGGAGAGATGCCAACATGTTTTTTTAAGAACTGTTGAAGCTGTGTGCCTGGTATCCAACCCTACAGCTGGTAAGACGGGTTCAGAGGAGAGGACTTGTGGCTTACAGGGGAAATGAGAAATGAAGCCTTCCTATCAGAAATACTGTGAGGCATGGGCAGGACAGACAGACCTGGCATGCCTCTCTTCGTGAAAACCACCCAAGGCTAATTGGGTTGGGCTAGGGCTTGAAAGAGGCCCCGGTTTATTCTAGAAGCAGCAGTAGCTGAGAGCAAAATCCTAAAGTAACCTCACTTTTTTTTCTTTTAACAAACATACATCCAGCGACCAGGTAGATGGACATGAGCGGAAAAGGGAGATGGATAATATTTCTGCTCTTTTTAAAAACTGCTGTCCAGTGGAACTTTCTGCAAAGATGAGAACAGTCTAGAACTTGTGCTGCCCAGCATGGTAGGCACCAGCCACAGAGGTAGCTCATGTGACTGAGAAATGGAGTTTTATTTAATTTTAATTAATCAAAACTTAAGTTTAAATAGCCATATGCGGCTAGTGGGAAACCTTGTTGGACAGTGAAGTTGTAGGACAGCCAGCTATAGCAGACCCCGGCCCTCCCAGAGCTGAGGGGTTAACCCTCCCAGAGCTGAGGGTTCTGCCAGCCTGTCTTCCTAAGCAGGTGCTCTGAAGGACCTGGGTGATCTGGGTAGGTTTCTGAGCGGCAGAACATCGCATATTTGCAGGCAGACCAGGCCTGCATCCCAGACCCTCCCCCATCCTGCTTTTCCCAAAGCCCTTATTCCTATATCTCCAGATGTGCTTGTTTCTCCTCCTTACAGAACTGCCCTTGGTTCCCCTCTAAGGATTGCTCTCCAGGCTGGGGGTGAACAGTAACCCCTTCCAGTCTGCTCTCATACCAACCCTCACTCTACTCCCTTTCCTGGGCATGGCACAGTATTGGTTTGAAGACCCAACTTGAGAGCTGAAGCTACCAAATACAGACTTCTAGAGCTATAGGTGACCTCAGACCATCTACCCAGGAATTCTCAAGCTGGAACACGAGCTAAGATCCCAGGTGATGCTTCCTAGGGTCCACCCACTGAAATTCTGATTCAGTCACTCTGCAGAGGGGTGGGGGGTGGGGCGGGGTGGAGAGGGGAGGTGGAGAGCCCAGGAATCTGCATTTCCAGGGATTCTGATACAAGTTATCTGAGATCAGTCACATTTGGGCAGACAGTGATCTAGTCCAGGGAGGGGAAAACTACTTATCCAAAGTCACACAGCAAGTCAAAAGCAGAGCAGGGGCTGGAAGCCAGGTCTCCTGAGTTCTGATCTGGCACTCTCTCTACCTCACCAGGAGTGTGGTTTATTTAGTGTGAGCAGATACCTTGGTTCATAGCTCTGTGGTTCTGAATGGGGGCTGAAAAAAAAAAATCCTTTTCACTGTCATATCCCCTAAAGTCCATAGCATGGTAGATGACACAGGGCAGAGCTCAATAAATAGAGTATCAAAACAATGTATACGTACTTTAAGAAAGGAAAAAAACCTATTAAAATTAGAAGATGAATACAAGTCACATTTGACTTCTGCAATTACAAGAGGTGCTCAAAGTGGTTACCACTAGTGTTCAGACACTTCTGATTACAGCAAACTAAAAGTGATATATAGTAACATCTCTCTTTTTTGTTTTTTGAGTCAAAGTCTCACTCTGTCACTGGAGTGCAGTGGCACTTTCATGACCGCCACAGCCTTGACTTGCTAGGCTCAGGTAATCCTTTCACCTCAGCCTTCCAAGTAGCTGGAACCATGGGTGTGTACCACCACATCCGACTAATTTTTTGACTTACTGTAGAGATGAGGTCTTGCCAAGTTGCCCAGGCTGGTCTTGAACCCCAGAATTCAGGTAATCCTCTCACCTCTGTCTCCCAAAGTGCTGGGATTACAGCCATGAGCCACCGCGCCTGGCTGCCCTTGTTAATCAGGACCACAACGAACCCAGACAATGAACAATAATGCTGGGTGGAGAGGAGCGCGGGAAGGTGGAGTTCAACCCACAAAAGCCAGAATTGCTCAGCTCTTTTTAGGAGTGTGGCTGTGGCTGGCACCAGATGAGATCTACCTGGCTGGGGAGCGGGGTGCATTTTCTATGTGTACATAAAGGGTCTGGGAGCTCTGTGGAAGGAGGCGAGAGCGATGGGCAGAGTGCACATTGGGGCAGGGGACATATACCACAATAAAAGAAGCTAAAATCTTTTATCGTTGCAAGTTACAGCAAACACGCTGAGGAAATTAATGCTGGAGAGAAGTGGGAAGAAAAGTTTATCTGGGAAACTGGGGAATTGTTTAGGCTCAGACAGATGATACTAGATACAAAGCAATCTTGTTCTAGACAAAACTGATTTTATAACCGTGCCTGGGCAAGGGGGTCCTAATTCCACAGATCAGCTTGAGAGGAGAGGGTGGGAGGGTGACCAGTCACATAGGGGGTGTCTCAGTGCAGCAAGGGTCCTGTGCAGGATTGCTTCTGTTGGCATCCCCTACCCCAGTGCTTGTCCAAGCGGCTCTCTGCCCTGGAGTTTGACCTCTGGAGACTGTCTTGACTGGGCTTGCCCTCTGGCTTGCCCT